TTTATGCAGCAAGGGAGGTGGAGTATATGATTTATAACTCAATACAAGCTTATTTGAATTCCTATTTTTAAGAAGCCTGAGCCCGTTACACACATTAGACCAAGAATAACTGGCTCAGATACACATGGTTTACATAATCTAATGACCCAGGGAAGCCCTGCAAGAATTCATTCTTACATCAGTAACAGATCGCTCCAGCTGGAGCGGACTTTGGGCCTTCAATGACTTAGTAAGGCATGTATGAAAGAGGCCACCACAAAAACAGCCACAGTGAATACTTCACCTATCGAAAATAAGTTATCACTTGGAAAATTGATTGCTTGGTATGTTTGAATGTACATGTGCTGTTGGGTTCTGTGTAAAAGAGTGTCTTTAGTTAATCTGTAGTTGGTAAATCAAGAAGTAAGTAAATGGTTGTGTTATATAGTTAATCTGGAGTTGGTAAATCAAGAAGTAAGTAAATGGTTGTGTTATATACTGTTATTGTCATGTGAAGTTTATGTGTATCTGTGAAACTGTCTTACTCCTAACTGTATAGTTACTGCCCCAATGGACCTAGATATTTCTCCTAGAACCATCAAAGGAGATAAGTTTGGAAAATACTGCCAAATATGTGGATATTGCCAATATTGCCAAATTTAGATGCCAAAGAAGTTAATGAAGAATTTAATGTGCTGTTTTTTCTGATTGATGATCTTGTGTTTGTTGTGTAGTGGCAAGGCTTATTAAAAATACAGGAATTAAGTTTGCTGCTCCCTTGCCAGTCTCTCTCATCTTAGTGGTACTGGACATAGAGAGGCCATGTGATTTCAGATTTAAGGTATTTTTCTATCTGATAGAGTTTCCTGATAAGAAACAACTCCCAAGGCTGAGATTCACCAGCCACCCTGATAAATGGTCATCTCTGGCACCTTACTGTCTGGGAGATTCCTTGGGAGAGTCCCATCCCAGGTTGTTTACAACCCTAATGTCAGAGAGCACTGTTACTCATCCTCCACCTCGCTCAGCCAATCAGGAACTGGTAGGGCAGGGTAACCCCACGTGGGTCTCGAATGCCCGCGGAACATTCAACCAATGAACGACCGTAGTTCCTCCAGATAAAACAGGAAGCACAGGGCCCAGAAAGCACCCCTCCAGGAAATTCTCAGACTCAGCTCGGACAATCACGTGACTACCAGTGTGTCCGAGTGCTAGGACTTTACTTTGTTCTTTGAAGAGTCGAGACCGGAGGTCGCCCGCGCGTAACCAAAGGATCCGCCCGAGGTTAGCCCAGCAGCAAGCCTCGTGAACCGCCGGTACCCCACCGCAAACGCTCGCCTGATCAACGAGTGAACTACTGTCGGAACTGTCGACAGCTGAATTTCAGGATTCAGGACTAGCGCTACATCGGGAACGAATCGGGAAAGTGGAATCGTGTGGATTGGGTATCCAACTGAACATTGGCACTGGCAAATTCTTCTATAATGCAAGCAAGAAGAGGCGATAAAGCACAACTGACATGTCTCAGATACAGAATTACTCTAAATGTACTGCATGATTTTACACAATTGAATATTCTTACGTCTTTCAAAACTCCAACCCTAACCACAAAGTGTTCCAGAAGCAACTTGGGACTTCAAAACACACATGAGAACTAAAATGTTTTCATTCCTTGTTAAAGAAGAGTATTCACTATAAATGAATCTTCAAAACCTCCAGAGGGATGACACTCAAGCACTGAGTGAGGACACCTGTTTTAGACTAAAAGGAATAAAGAAGTTTGTGCAACATGAAAATAAAACAGGCAGAAGCAGGACATTTAAAAATATTGAAATTTAATAGCCAAAAGGTGTAAAATATAGAGTGCTAGGAAAATGTTCTCTTCTGCTGTGATAAGCATTGCTGGTTCCTGTCACGAATGACCCGCTGAGGAAACAGGAGGATG